CAAGGGCAGCGCTACGCCATGCAGGTCGAGGCGGCGCGGGGGATGAGGCCCAACCCCAACAACGGCCACACACAGCGGCTGCTATCCCTGTCGGGATACGGGGCGGGGGATTGGTTGAATGCGGTACCCCTGGTATCCTCCCTCCGCCTAGAAGCCCCCCACTATGCCAACCCACTAGTTCCGGCTGGGGCTCTCCTTTGCCGCTCCCGGGGCATGCAACTGCAAGAAACAGGTGAAGATCCCTGACAAGCGCCTCCCGGATCATCTGCTACGGTGCGGTACAGGGGGGGGGGCGAATCAACACGCACAATGAACTTCGTGATGAATGCGCGCGAATGGGACAGGACGCCGGCTTCATGGTGCACAAGGAAACTGCCGCTTTCAGCCCCATAGAGGAGAAGAAAGCCGACATAGTATGCGGGACCGCTCCTCGGCAGCCGTATACATCTGTGATGTGACAATCACAGATCCTATCAGCACCCGTGATGAAAACGCGGTCAAAGGGCGGGGGTGGGCTGCACAGGAGGCAGCAGCCAAGAAGCACGACCACTACAAGGACCGCCCGGAGTGGGTGAAGTTTTTCCCACTCGCAGTTGAGACCTATGGGTGCCCCTGCCCGGAAGTCGTAAATTTCCTAAAGCTCCTCGCCGAAACAGCTGCACGAAGGCATTTCAATGCCGAGCCCACCTCGTACCAAGCTGCCAAGCTCTTACACCAATATCGGCAGCGTTGGTCGGTGGCTCTACAAAGGGGGCAGTCGGTCGGGTACCTAGAGAAGTGCAGCCTTGCAGCGGCAGCAGAAAACCCCCTGTTAGAAACGTGGGGGCAAGCACCGTCCCTGGGGGACTGCCTCACAGTGTTAGAACCCGCTCTTGATCTCCCTTAGAGGGAGACCTGCGGGATGGTGGCCTTGTTTGGCCGAGTAGGAATTTGAGGCCTTGTTTGTTGTGTAAGCACGAACCTTATATCTCCTACATGTGTGTACTCTGTCTATATCAATGAATGGACCATTAGAGAGGAGCGTGGGAGTGGCTGAGGAGGCAACGAGCGATCTGCACAAGGTGTGGCTGCGGCTCTCTGCTATGCCATTCTGCTGCGGGCTATCAGGAAGGGTGAAGTTTTGAAGAATGCTTTCTGAAGAGCAGAAGGCTTTGAGCTTGTCGTTGCAAAATTCACCACCACCATCTGAGTGGAGGCGCTTGACCTTGCGGTCAAAGGTGGTCTGTGCCTGATTGACCCACGCCATGATGGCCTCTGGAGCCTCAGCCTTAGTGTGGAGAAGGTGCACAAAGACGTAGCGGGAGTGGTCATCAACTATTCCAAGGAAATAGCAATGGCCGCCTCGTGCGGCAACAGGGGCAGGGCCCCAGACGTCCATATGCACTAGGTCCAGTGGGGCTGCTGCAACTGAGGGTGAGGCAGGGTGGGGCTGTTGACGCAGCTTGCTCTTGGTGCAATCAAGGCATGAGGGAGCGGGGGAGTCAGGTGGTGGAGGAAGTGAGGCTGGTAGGCCGAGATGTAGCTTCTTGGAGGCCATGTCAGCAAGTGTGCGGAAGTTTGGGTGCCCGAGCCGATGGTGGTAGAGGATGGTCGGATTAGCGAAACTGCGACATGAGCATGGAGTGATGTCAGCCTGTGCTTGGGTGATTGACACATGTGGGATAGGTACACGCAACGTGTAGAGGCCACTACTGTTGAGGGTGAAGCAAGCTAGGACCTTGTTGGTGAGTGGGTCAATGATGTCACAATGGTCCTTGAATTCCGAGATTATGGTGCGGAGCCCAGCCTCCTGAAATTCTTTTTGGGCCAATAGATTGTGGCGCAGTGAGGGCACGCACATGCCAGTGACAATGCCGGATACGAATGCAGGGCATGGGACAGTGGACGAGCCCTTCGCAAAAATGGTGAAGCTTGAATCAGCTCCCAAGAAAGGAATTGGTTTAGAGTAGGGTTTGAAGGAGAGTGTCTCCTTGAGCACCGTGTGAGTGGCACCACTGTCGGGTGTGAATTCTATGTATTGTGGTGCTTGTGATGAGCCGATGTACTGGGAGCTTGCTTCATTAATCATGGCAGTGCAAGGGAACAGCAAGTTGATACGCACATCAGCAAGAGCACTATCACAAACACTAGCCGAAGCGGGGTCCTGGACCTCAACTAGGTTGGCCTTACGAGGGCGCATCCAATTAGACGGCTTCTTGTTGACTCCGTTCATGGGATACCATTCGTCGTCTTTCTTCTTGGAGCACGTGGCGAGGGGGTGGTTGGTGCCACCACACACTTGTCCAATGCGGTTGCCAAACTTGACGACATAGGTGCACGGAGGGAAGCGGTTGCGCTGGAAGGGTGCCGAGGCGACACTTGCTTTAGACACGGGAGCACGGAGGGCGTAAGCCTTGGCTTGAGCCATGGAGTCTTTCTCGGCAGAGAGGAGGGCGGAGGAGACCTTAGCAGAAGTGAGGTCTTCCGCCGAGGATGTGAGGAGCATCTTCCTCGTGACTTCGTATGCCGAGGTGAGGCCAACAAGAAGGGCAGCTGCAGGAGCTTGTTCGGGGAAGACTATACCCAGTTCCTTGAGTTCGCCATGAATGGTCTGCACCTTGGCAATGTAGTCGGCCATTCCCGAGCAATCCTCAAGGCGGACCTAGAACATGCTCGGGATGAGGATGGCGACTCTGACTGCTATCTTATTCATGAAGCGATCCTTGAGATACTTTTAAATGGCGCTGGAGGTGGGACAGTTGTGGAAAGTGTTGAAAATTTCGGGAGGTGTGGAGCCGATGAAGACGCTAATGATAGCCGCATCGGCCTTCTCCCACTTGCGGTACTTGGCAACAGAATCCTCGTACTCTTGGGTTGCCACAGCATTGGAGGGATCGGACGGCTCCTTGGGAACGGGGGGCTGTTTTCCCTTGCCATGATTGAGAAGAACGTCCTTGAGGTCAAGTCCACCCACTTCACGACTCAGGAGGTGCTTGTCAACTCCGTAGCTCCATGCCTTGAAGTTGGAGCTAGTGTCGTCCGCTTCAAGGCGGAGCGGGGTGATGGGGTTGGCGAGAGTGGCCGAGGCGAATGCCATGACGAAGAACCCTTTAGGTCTCGCGCTAAGTGCCGCTCGTAGTCACCGATAGGAACTTGAGGTTTAGGGTTTCCGAAGGAGAATTTGAAAAACTTGAGGTTTGGGGTTTACGAAAGAGAATTGTGCGGTTTATGGTTTCCGAATAAAAAATCCGAGGGACGCGAAGAGAGAAGATCTTCAATGTCGGCCGCTTCGGAATATCTCGTAGAAGGAATTTTACGACCGATGAAAGTAGGTCAAATCGGCCGATTTCGGTATAGCTAACCCTATTCCCACACACCCCCCCACACACCACCCTCGGCTTAGCGGCTACGCTGCTGCTCAGCTTCGCGGCTACACTGCTACTCAGCTGCGGAGTGCCGTTGCGTGGCGACGGGTGGCAGCCCGACGAGAAGATGCAGGGCGACGGGCGGCGGCCCGACGAGAAGCTGCGGGGCGACGGGCAGCAGCCCGACGAGAAGCTGCGGGGCGACGGGCGGCGGCCCGATGAGAAGAAATGGAGCGAAGACGTTTGACGAAAAAACACGATTGGTTAAAGCGCCGACGATGCGCTTACCAGAGAAGTCGCGAAAGTCGTCGAGAAGGAAGGGAGTGGCGCGGGACAATTACCGACCAAAGAAGTCGCGAATCACCGGCGACGAGATTGATGGCGGCTACGCCGAAGAATGCGAGACAAGAGCCCGTTACGATAGGAGGATCACGATTCGCGTGTGCGGTTGAATCGCTCTGATACCATGTCAGAACTAGAGCTTAGAATCCATGCATTAGTAGTGAGCTCAAAGCTCTTTAAGTACATCAGAAATGAGCAAAGTATGGATGGGGAGGGAATAGGGGGCAATCCTAGGGAATTGGGGGTAATCCCAAGGCAATCTCCAATTGGTGGGTTGGAGATTGCTTGGAGATCACATTTGGGTTTGGTTGGGGTGTGGGTGTACACCCAACCAAACACAAAGTGCAAACTACACTAAACTATGATATAAAAAGTACAAGTACAAATGCGAGATTGAGAGCTAACATTGACAGCGCCCGCATCCACTCCACCACCTCGGCGCATGTTAGCTGGGAGGGAGCGGAGGAGGGAGGGTAGAGTAGAAGAGAGTTGGAGTGAGGGTGTGGGAAGAAGCGGCATATATTGAAGTGGGTAAGGCGGGGGCCATGATAGCTGAGCGTGAGGTTGGAAGGGCAGGGCCGCATACGCGGGCGTGCAGGGGAGCACATACTTGTAAGACTAGCACAGCCCTCTCGCTTACCTCGTGAGGGCTGAGAGCTCGCCGCAACCGGCGGAACAAGGACGGGTGGCAGCGAGCAAAGAGCGAAGGGAACTGGTGGGGAGGCCTGTGGGGATCAGCAGGGAGAATGGAGATGTAAATATGTAAATGATGGGGTATGGCTGGAAAGCGAATGAGGGATGCAACGGATGACACACAGAAAGGTGGGACGGGAAGGGGACAAGTGGCATGATATGATCAATCAATATGAGCAGGACTAAGAGACGTGTAAGCGAGCTAGCCTAGTCCCCTGTCTGACCTGTATGGCATGACATAGGGTGCAGCAGCCATGCACTTGACTCCAAAATGCTCTGCTATGTGCCATGCTTCCTGCATGCAGGGAGGAGCGGGACCGGGATATGGGCATGTGGAAAGGAAAGGAAAGGAAAGAGATCTCATGCCAAGATAGACTAGACACAACAACTTCAAGGGAAGTAAGGAGATCCAGACCAGAGTTGCAGGGGCCATGTGCCCTTGCAAGGTAAGAGAAATGGTGGTGAGTGAGAGAGACAGCAGTGCAGCTGGGAAGCAAAGAGCACCTTACAAGGGCAAAGAGGTTGAACAGTATAAGCTTGTGTGTCTCCTGCGGCTCGCCACTCATCCCGCTGCTGCTGCTGCTGCTACCTTTCCTCTCCAGCCCCTCCGTCCCTTCTGCATCATCCGCCTCTTTCGCAACCTCCGCCCCCTCCGCCCCCTCCCCCCCCCTCCGCCCCCTCCGCCCCATCCCCCCCCTCCGCCCCCTCCGCCCCCTCCCCCCCCTCCGCCCCCTCCGCCCCCTCCGCCCCGTCACAAGCCTCCAGGCACTTTTGGATGGCTTCAAAGCACTCCCTGCGATGCCGACCCTCCTCCTCTTCTCCCCACCCCTCCTCTTCCTCATTGTTTGTATCCCCATCTTCGTTCTCTTCTTCTTTTCCTTCACTCACGCTTATAATCCTCCTCCGCTTTCTCCCCTTTCCCTGGTCAATCTCCCCTCCCTCCTTTGCCTCCCCTCTCTCCTCTCCCCCCTCGCCTTCCCCAATCCCCTCTCCCTTCCCTACTTCCCGTATCCCCTCTCCCTCCTCTCTTGTTTCTAACGGTTCTCCACTCCCGTTTTCCCGTTCTGCTTCCTCCTCTGTCCTCTCCGGGCCGTCACGTTGCTTGAAGGCAGGAGAAGAAACTCCCACAAAGCCCACTCCCTGTGCTGTTAGGCTCGGCCCAAGGCTGCGCTGCAGGTAAGGCACGGGACACCAGAGAAGAAATGGGGAGTGCAACAACAAAATATGTGTTCGCCTGAAACATACGTGATGCATTGAAGAAGCATGCTTGATCTTTTGAAGAACAGAACTCAAGAAACAGTAAGCTGAAGAGGAAACAGAGACCTGAGGAGGAAACCACACCTGGTGCTCCTGATGAGTCACAAACCACACTGCCATCGACGTTTCCCTCCTCCTCCTTCCGCTGACCTCTTTTCCCCCGTACCCTCCACGCTTTTCCCCCTCTCCCCCCCACCCCTCCTCCCCCTCTTCTCCTGCACCCTTTCCTATCACATCTTTGACCCCCTGTGCGGCGAGTGCTGATGCTAGCACCTGCATGGAGCGGGAATGAACGTGGGGGAATGGGGTGCACGAGAGGGGGAGGAGGCGGTTGAAGGTATTTCGGGGAAGGGGGGAAGGGCGAGGAGGGGGAAGGCGAGGAGGGGGAAGGGCGAGGAGGGGGAAGGGCGAGGAGGGGGAAGGGCGAGGAGGGGGAAAAGCGAGGAGGGGGAAAAGCGAGGAGGGGGAAGGGCGCGCAGGGAAAAGGCGAGGAGGAAAGACGAAGGGGGAAGGCGGGGAGGGAAGTGAGGAGGGGCTAAGACGAGGAGGACGAGCCTACCGCAAGTGGCTGCACGTCCCCTCGCGTGCCGAACGCGACGAACAGCGGGAGGGGAGGTACGGGGGAACGTAAGGGCGGAGGTAAGGGGGAGGGGGGAAAGAGCAAGAGCCTACCGCAAGTGGCTGCACGTCTCCTCGCGTGCCGAACGCGACGAACACCACAGTCGCGCGGGTGACTAGTCGGCGGCGATCCTGCTCCATACGCGTTATGACGACGGCCGATACGCCGTCAGGGTTAGCAGCGCGGGCCCTCGCTACCGCTCCAGTCGCGAAGGCCCTGTATGCCTGCAATCCGTTGCGCCGTCTCGACGATTCGTGACGTCACATCGATGGTTCGTTAAGTCGCCTCGAGTCGGCACGAAGTCACCGTAGTGGGTGATGCTGCATTGCGCTTCAGAGAGAGGGGTAAGTCAAACGCGCCCCTAAGGCCGCGTACACCGTTACTCGCAAATGTCCAATTCGCGCCTACCTGACAGCAAGCTCCGTCAACTAGCCGCAAAATAAAACGCCAAGACGCCTAGCGCCGCGGGTGAAGGAACGATGAGGAACAAAAAAACTGGAAGGGTGGATGCTAAGCGAGCGCTCTACCATCTGGGCTACATCCCCGATACCATGTTAAAATGCAATTATTTCTAATCATGTAGACATTTTTTTAACTCTGCCACCAAAAATGTCCACAAGAAGCAGCTGCTTCTGAAGATAGCCAACCTGCACAGGCAAGACAGAAACGGTAAAATTGGCATTATTGGAATATAAATATGTAAGTTCCATGCACATAGCTCCAACTTCCAGCTCACATGCAACCCTTCACGTCAATCACCTCATCTCACCACACACACCTTGTCAAGCAGGGAGGGAGCTCACATCCCTCATCGCAGCAGGACCGGGAGGTGTTCCCATGCGCCTAGACGCCTGCACACAGATGCTAACACATTTCTCCAATTCCCCCTACATATCAATCGCCACATACCTTGTCAAGCAGGAAGCTCATGTCCTGTATCCCAGCAGGGCTGGCAGGTGCGCCCCTGCGCCTAGACGCCTGCAACCGGCAAGCTTCGAGGGCCTTTCTCAGGTCGTCCTGCAAAAGAGTAAGGAAAGCGGACATGGGAAGGATTTTTGAGTCGACTCAAAAATCGACTCACTACACGAGGAAAGCGGACATGGGAAGGAGGGAGGATTGGAGTGGAAGAAAAATGAACATGGGAGAGAGGATTTCGTCAGCTCTTCCTACCAAAGATGAAGCGAAACGCGCACAAGAGGGAGGAGGTGACTTTTTTAGTCGACTCAAAACATTTTCCTCAGCTTGCCCTGCCAGAGATAAACAACACAGGCACGCGGAGGAGGCGGACTCGAAAGAAAATACCACCGGCCCAGAAGAGGGGGAAGAGGACGGAGTGGAGATTTAAAACTCGAGACTCACCTGTGCCCTTGCATTCTGCATGCATACTGTTGCAGCCTCTGCCACCATCTCTCCATGTGCCACCTCTATGATAGGAGAAAAACGAGCCTGTTGGGATTTAAGAGGTCCCAAGACTACAGCACTCACCTGTGCCCTTGCATACTGCATGTGTATTGATGCAGCCTCTGCCACCATCTCTCCATGTGCCACCTCTCCGGTACACGAGAAATGAACCTGATGGTAAGGGGGAAGACGTCTTAAAACTTTAAAAACCTCGTCACAATGGAAAAACGAGCCTGGCAGTTAGCACCCCTTACTTGGGGCGGAGCACACTACGTTTCGCAGGTCTTACATCTATTAACTATATGCTTACAGATATACATGTGTATATGTGTAAAACGAAAACAAAAAACAGACATACTGATTGCAGCAGCAGGTGTGACATGAGGCAGCTGTCCGCCCCACAGGCCTCTGTAGTACTACTGTAGACAATGCTGACACCAACCGTTGAGACACATGACAATCACGCAGTGAACATAATTAAAACAAAACGGTCTGGTGGTCTTACTGATTGCAGCAGCAGGTGTGACATGAGCCAGCTGTCCGCCCCACAGGCCTCTGTAGTACTACTGTAGACAACGCTGACACCAACCGTTGAGACACATGACAATCACGCAGTGAACATAATTAAAACAAACCGGTCTGGTGGTCTTACTGATTGCAGCAGCAGGTGTGACATGAGCCAGCTGTCCGCCCCACAGGCCTCCGTGGCCCCCACTGCTGCTGCACTCAACCGCTCACACGCTGATGCCCACTGGTAGAAGGCCAGGAGAGGGAAGGAGAGAGCTGGAGAGAGGGTGGTAGTTAAAGCAGTTGCTGTTGATGATGCTGCTGCTGCAAATGGTGCTGCTGCTTCTTCTGCTGCTGCTGCTGCTGCCATTGAAGCTGCTACAGTGAGAACCACACTGCAAGCAGGGATGAATTAGAAAGGAGGCAGTGTGACACGACTTTGGCCGGCAACATGGATGGAGAGCTCAGAGCTAGGTTACTTCTCAGTCGACTCAAAATTCAAGAACCAGAGGAAGCAGGGTTTGGAACCACAAGCAAGCAGGAAGTGGTGAGACTCCAGCAGCATGGGCTGCTCAGAGATAAAAACAACACTACAAGGTGCATGGGCCATGAAAGGTGCACGCAGGCAGAAATCCCCACCATGAGGAAAAAAGGCCAGCCAAAATGGGATGGGATGGGAGGTTTGAGTACGCTGCAAGTGGAGGGACAATGTCAGTTGGGATCGAGAAACCAAGATAGACGAAAAGCACATACCTTTCAACATCTGGCTCTTGTTCCTCTAGATCTCCTTTTTCCCCTTGCTCATCCGGACCGCACAGCCCATGCAGGGTGAAGGTGACATGCGGCAGCAGCAGGCTGACATACGGCACAGCGTGCACAAAGGCGGTGCAGGAGTGCACGAGTCCATTATCGTTCTCCTTACCCCAGCCGTGCATGCATGCTGCACAGGAGTGCAGGCGCCCTATATGGTTGTCCTTCTCCTCACCCCTGCCACCCCTCTCGTCTTTCAAAACTCTGTGCTCATCCGGGCTCCCCTCATCCCCCTCGTACCACTCAATACCTCTACCATCCTCATCATTTTCTCCTTCGGTATCATCTCCTTCCTCGCCCCAGTCTGCTTCCTCTTCCTCCTCTTCTTCCTCCTCCTCTTCCTCCTCCTCCTCCTCCTCCTCCTCCTCCTCCTCCTCCTCCTCATCCTCCTCCTCTTCTTCCTTTTCCTCCTCATCCTTCCCCTCATCCTCTCCCTCCTCTTCCCCCTCCTCAGTCTCCTCTTCTTCCTCCCTCTCCTCCATTATAATCTCTTCAATCTCCTCTCCTTCTCCTTCCTCCCTCTCTCTCTCCTCCCCCTCTCCACTCCCCACTTCCCCACTCCTTGGCTCGATAACAAAAAACTGAGTACAGATCAAGTTCCTATCCCTGTTATGAGATGCCTCGTTATTCGTTTTGGTGGGATACTGGGTGCAGATCACATTCCTCTCCTTCCAATCCTTACTCCCCTCGTCACTCCCCACACCTATACCTTTTTGAGACGAATTCAAACGCTTAGTACCCTCCTCACTGCCAACACCAACAGCTTTCTGAGACAAATCCAAGGCCCTACTCCCTTCATTGCTCCCCAAACCCGCGGCACCACTTCCCACACCTGTGCACCCCTCACTACCCTCCTCGGCTGTTCTTTCCACTGCAGGTCCCTCCACTAGAACCACGTCACTATCCTCCTCCTCCAAACGTCTCCCCCTCTCCATTCTCTCCAATCCCTCTCCTCTCTCCCCTCCCTCCCCTTCCTCTTCCCTCTGCCCCCTCCCTTTTTCCCTACCCACCACCCCTTCCAACTTCTCTTCACCACCCACCCGACCACACGCCCCATTGTTCCGATTTCTCCTCCTCGCTCGTGCTCCTCCCTTTTTCCCACCCACCCCACACTTCAGTGCAAGACGCTTTGACACTCCAACCACTCCTTGCTTTCTCCTCGCACCCCCTGCTCCTTTCTTACCCTGTTGGCTGCTGTGCGCCCTGGCAACCTTCATCCGTTTCCCACTGATACGTGCTCCCATTCTCCCTCCCTTCTTTTCTCTCCCCATCCTTTCGTTTCTGTCCCCACCCTCAGCCCCTCCTGAATCAACCCCCCTTCCATGATCACACTCGAGAACTCCACCATCCCCCTTCTTTCCTCTCCTTTTCTTCTTACTGCTCCTCCTGTCCGCCTCTTCGCTTTCCTGGAAGAGTTTCCTTTTTAGACCGCCACCAGCACCAGAAACGCCTCGGCCCTCGGCATTGTGACATCTGTTTGTATCATTGCTTCCACGGTGGCCTTGGTTACAGTGCTGTTGGTAACCACAGAGGCCTTGGTTACCATGCCGTTGGTTGCTTCCACGCTGGTTGTTGCAACGCCCTTCCAGCTTATGACACGTGGAGCATGGCAACGTCCGGGTGCCTCTGATGAGCTGGCGGACAGCAGAGCCATCCAGTAGAAAAACTCCATTTGTCCCAAAATCGAGCACAGTCCTGAAACAGCAGGAGGACGTGGTGGGTCTGAGCTTGGAAGCACGCATTCACGACACCGAAGCAGAGGCGAAACACAACCCATCCCCCTCTCCCCTATCCCACTCCCATTCTCCTCTTCCACGCACGAATGAAAATGGCAGGATAGGACATGCCCTTCATCATACCTGAGTCGTGTAACCGGTGGAAACCTTGATTCTGGGGCTCCGCCTGCTGCTGGTGTCTCTGCAAAGGGTGCTACTGATGCTGCTGCTGGTGTGGATATTACTGGTGCTGCTGGTGTTGCTGCAGCTGTTGTAGCTGGAGCTGGTGCTGGTGCTGGTGCTGACGCTGGCGTTGCCATTGCAGGCTCGTAATCAGTTGACGTGAGTTCGGGCTTGATCAGGCAGCCCACTCGGACACCCTGATACAGGAACAGTACGGGATTCCACGAATGAGAGAGATAGAATGTGATATATAGTACAGAGTACGATGATTCCTATCCTATTCATGAGGGAAGGCCGGATCAGGCAGCCCTCTCGGGCACCCTGATACAGGAACAGTACGGGATTCCACGAATGAGAGAGATAGAATGTGAGATATAGTACAGAACACGATGAGTCCTATTCCTGAACAGAGCACAGTACGATAACAGAATAAGATGAAAGGCACATGATGAGAGTAAAAATACAGGTTAAGACCAGATACACAAGTTAAGGAGATATATGAAATAAACGAGATAGGATGAAAGTTACAGGATAGAACGTGGGATTGATGGCCTTATCGTAAAAATACCCCTAACACTCCACACGCCTCAAAATACCTCAACCGCTGCCTGGAGCAAACACTCCACTCGCCTCCTGTAACATTCACACCAATACATGCACACCCATTACACTCACGAAAAGCGTGGCGTTAGGGTTCCGTTGGTCCACGGCAAACTCGAGGTGAATGGCGTCGGGAGCGAGAAAACCCAACAGCTCATCATTCCGAGGCTTATCATGAAGAGATGGCGTTCCAGTCAATACATGCTCATTGTGATGTGAACCGACATTCTCAAGGTGCTGTGAAAGCCTTCCAACGGACGGCGATCCGTATTGTTCCGACGCACTAACGTGGAAGCTTCCGAAGCCCTTAAAAACCCAGCTAGGCTCCGGAGACGGAATGTTTGCAGGATTAGCTGGTTCGGCGACCGAACCAGCTGGTTCGGTGATAGGCTCGTTAGCATTGAGCGGGGTGTCAGGATCGCTAACACGGCTGCGGTTCAGAGATGCATGCGGATTGAGCCATGGCTGCGCATTTAGCCAGGCACGGCGATCCATGCGTAAATAAATACCAGCAATTCGAAAAACAGCGGTTTGAAAACGAGGAAAGGGATGCGAACGGTCGTAAGACTCATGGGCTTGATGCAAGTTCTGGCAATCCCTGAGCTACCGATATTGCCAAGAGCTTTCCATTTTATGGTTCGGCAGCTTCAAGGTGACGACAACGATGAAAACTGCGATTCCCTCGATATATTGTCCTGGTGAAATTTAATCAGATTACTGTATCCTCAGGTAAAGCTTTTCATAGCGCCCATAAATAACTCTCTTACCCCGTTCCACAAAGCCTTTCCTAACTGCAATTATTGGAACAGTAACGAAATACTCCTCACAAATAAAATGTGGAAAAATGTTGTAAATCGATAATCTTTTACTGAAACCAATGTGACAACACTAAACCATGGAAAGTCTCTTCTGTCCATGTTGAGAAAAGTTGGTGTTTTGCATTTCAATCGATTACTGGATCGTCTAGCTAATATTATAGAGCATTCAGCTCAACACACATGTGGAGCTCCCCAGGTACTCCAGTGGTTTTCAAGGTGCCATGATGCCATCGGGTAGTCCACAAGAAACCCTGGTTGACGCACAAGACAAACAGCAAGGATGATGGATTCAAGGTACAGCATGTGACGTGACCCCTACAACAGCCCCCGCTGCCATTTCGTTTCCCCAGGTATAGCTTGTGATGTGTGCCAGTCATGGAACCCCCTCAGCACCTGCTGCCAGAGTACCCACTCCACCACAAGGTGCAATGCAGCACCATGAGGACATGCACCAAGACTACTACGTCTAGCTCCTTGTGCGGCTAATGTTCCGGCTGCTTGGAGCAACGTTCCAGGGGCTTGGTGCAGCTAGTGGACGGGGAGGCAGCACAGGAGCACATGCCACAATGCATCTGACTACCATCTGCTTACATCGTAGTAACAATCCAATAACAATGGTGAACATCATTATTAGTTACAGCCTACCAGGGCACGAGCGGTGCCCCAACAATATTGACAGCCCTAAAATCTCCCTACGCTCATCGCATAATCTAAGCAGCCGGAGCTGTAATGGAATGGAAAGAACATGCAATTCGAACTCTAACGCAACAGGATTACCCTAAAGATGGGATCCTAAAGCACCCTTTTAAGCAGGCGGCCTGATAAGGTTATCCACGCCGTGCACCTTGATAAATTTACCGCTGAACAGGTCCGGCTTGGCTACCCGCACCCACGACAGCGGACCCGAGTTAGGCCGGCCGAACCCCACTTCGTTGCCGGCAGGCGGGAGAAGCTTGTTGATCGCGGTGGTGCTCTCTTGCGTGCCGACCTTCTGGAAGAAGTTAGTCTCGAGAAGGTCCTTGTTCTTGATCACCCAGTCCTTTGCGGCGGGGCTCACGGCCTTGCGCTCTACCGGGCGGTTCTTGTAAAGGGAGCGCAGCTGGGTGCCCCGGGGAAGGTTCTTCATCTGGCTGAAGGAGAAGCGCCCGCGAATGATGTTGTACCGGGCGAATTTGGTAACCATAGCGGGGTTGAAGAGCGCGCGAAGGCCGAGTTTCGCGAGGTCGGCATCGGTAGGGACGAGAACGGTGGTGTTTTCGACGAGCTTCAGCTTGTCGTTCGGGAAGTTGCCTGGGGAAGACTCGCGTGACAGGACAACAGCGAGACGCGGGTGACAGGGGGCCGGGGGGCCGTGTGTACGGGGAGGGGAGAGAAAAGGAGCAGCAGCGAGGGGAAGCATGAGAACAAGGATTGCTTTCCGAGTGCGAGCCAGCAATTCGCAGCTGACGGAAAGGCTTTTTCGAGGCGACTCGAGCGGAAGTGTGTGGTAGGGTGCAGAGAGAACGCAAGACGAAAGCGCGAAGGTACAGTTGATCACAAAGATTATGCTAGTTGCGACGACTGATAAGATCGTACTGTGTCAGATAAATTGCAACAACTGGGGCTAGGTAACGAGTGCGCACGCCGGAACGTAAAGTGGGCGAACGAAGGAGCACAACGGAACAGGAAGTGTACCAACGAGTGAGAACAGCGGAACAGAAGGCGTACTAAGGGTGGAGAAAACTTTGGCCGGAAGGCTGTAGCCTGGCTGGGCCGCGAGGATGCCCGCCACTTGCTTCAGCTCGGCGCGAAACGTTGTCGCCGGCGGTGAGAAGGTGCTGAGCGTCGTTTTGGGCGACGTTGTGGGCAATGAGTCAGGCGACGGCCGGGGAGCGAACTGAGCAGCGGCTGCAGAGGTGAGAAGAAGTGAGGTCGCGAGGAGCGCTAGAACAACTCTGGAAGCCATGGCTGAGAAAGTTAGGTACAGGATAGCTGGTTGAACGGCACGATTGAGGTTAATGTGCTACCGAGGGAGGTCGGATCAGCTCGAGAAATCGAGTCAAGCAGGCAGACACTGAGGTTAGTTAGCAAGTGAGCAGAGTCGAGCGTATTTTGATAATCTGAGCTGGAGCGAGTGAGACATAAAGTTGAGCAAGGCAAGGCGTAGTAGGTTAGGTCGACTGGGGGCGACAGGGCTTGCTCAATTTGCTGTTGAGGTGGGATCGCACAGGCAGGTGCAGAAATACAGACGACAACTGTTTGCCCTGGGCGATTTCTCGCGACGCATATACCTTTTTGCGGTTGGCTACGGCACCGCCAACGACCCATCACTCGCAAAATCGAACGCTGCAAATTGAATTGGCTGCATCTGGATGAAAAGTGTGCTGGAAGTGTGGACCCTGGGTTTTGACGTCGCGCATCGCACACCCTGGGTTCTTGTCGTAAGGAGTCGCCAAGATGCAGCCGACGACAAATTACGTTTGTATGATAAGTTACAGCCCTGGTTTGAGCGACATTTTACAGGGAAGCCCTCACTCGTACTGGCACAGATTGCAGACACTCATCGAGGCGCTGCAATGTTGGCGAGCCGCATTTGTATTGACATTGGAAACAGTCCACATCAGCAAAGCGCACTCGCTAAAAGCATCGTACCATCGTTGAAGGCACATCGATCCTCGATGTCATAAGTACTGCTTTAGACTACGGGTCACGTTACAATGACGCTGTTCTGGTTATAAAGCACATCAACTATCTAGTGAACTTAAACATATCATTGAGATTGGTACTGCTGGATATCCTCTGGCACTGCGTGTTGGTGTGTCATTGCCCCTTGGTATTGCATCAATTTCATCTCGAGCTTTCACTTTGCCATTTTTCCAACTACGTATTTGATCAATCGAATGGGGTCGAATGACTTGTCTTATGAATCAGACAGGTCTAGATGCTAGC